TTGACCACAAAAAAAAAAAAAAAAAAAAAAAAAAATTACCTCCCATCCATCTGGCTCAAGAAATTCTTTTCTGTTTGTGGCAGTAATAAATTCATCTCGTGAAACGAGCCTGTCTCTGTTAGTGTCGACCTATAGACAGTACAAAAAAATGACTACTAGTGAACCATCTTTGAAATAATATCCTTAGCACAATGAAGGATTCAGTCCCCTGCTATGATGCCCCCACCTCATTCATCACATGTTCTCTCATGCGAAGTCTCTCCTCCTCCATTTCCATCATGTCATCCTCTTCATGTGTGGGATCATAGACTTTCTCTAGCTGAACGGGGTGGACACAAGCATCAGATTTAGCACCCCATAAAGCCACGTCATCCTCAAAGTACTCTATTATGATAGCTCTGAATGGAAAGGTTATTAAGGGGAACCTCTTTGGTAAACAGTGCCTCGAGTTCTTGCTCATCAAAGTACCCATCTCCATTAGTATCTGTAAAAGCAAACAGATGTCACAGTCGTGCTGTGATATAATCTAAATGTTCAGAACAGAGAGGCTCACTGATCTCACCATGTAGGTTGAAGAATGTCTTTGGGTCAAATTCGTTGGGATCCAAACTGTCCGCTTCCTCCCAGACCTCTTTCAACTGGTCTTGACTGCCCTATTTACACACATACAGGCCAAATCTATACATTGGATGGAGACAGGTCTGAACGTGAGCTTGCAGTCGATTGTAAGAAAGGGCCGGGGTTTACGCACAAGAAATGATGGGAGAAGTCCAGCATATGTCAATTAAAAAAAAAGACAAGAGAGAAAAAAAAAGAATAAAGTGTTCAATATCACAAATGAGCTTGTTTGATTATTATATAAGTTAAAGGAATGTGTCTTTAGCTTACAGGGTGATTGATTTTGGGATGGTCTGCGTGTTTCTTCTTCATCTCTTCATAGTGTTCCTCCTCTTTTTTGCGCGCTTCCTCATCCAGTGTTTTAAGATGTTCCTTGCGCTCATGTTCCTTCGTCATCTCATACCTCTTGAAGTCTTCATGTCGTTCCTTGTCGAAGTTTTCCAGGTCATTAGTGGCCTCGATTTGACAAAATAAGGAAACAAGCAGAGAGGAAATGTAATGTGTGGAGACCAGCAGATCATTATATACAGTAGATCTCCATCCAACATAGGA